GGATTTCCTTAATTCAATAAAGTCTTGCACTTGGGGAAGTAACCTCAGCAAAATCACTTGTATTATCTCAGGATCCGGACGGTTTCCATACAAGAGTTTGAAGACGTGAATTTTTTTTAAAATAAAGCTTGAGAGGTTTTCGATATTTTTGCTGATATATGCTGAAAAGTTCCGTTTCTAATTTCGCACGATCCCTTACGACAGGGAAGGCTTTTACTAGGGCAGTCTTGAAATTTTCGTAAGTATAGGTGGGACTTCCTGCTTGACCCAAGAGACTTCTGCCTATACATTTGAACCAATTAAGCGCTTGGCCCCTCAAAGCGCTGGTAGCTAAGGTAACTTTTGAAACTCGTGCACGGGGATAGAGCATGAAGTGGTCATCCAATTTTTTCCAAAAAACTGGTTACCGGTGAGTTTCCATTAAATGTTGCTTCTGGTTTCATCGAAGCGCGCATGGTCTGGACGATGTAACCAAATCCTTCCAGGGCGGCAGCTGGCATTTCTGGATTCTGAGCCGCTTCTGCAGGCAGCACAGGTTCTTCTTGAAACTCGGCCATGGTTATTCTTCTTCGTTCGGGCGCCACTATCAGGTTCTGTGTTCCCTCCTTACTTCTTCGGGAACATGCAATGACCTGACTCGGAACAGAGAGCTTACTAAAGCTATGTTCAATAAATTGTGGGAAGTAGACAAGATACACAGGAAGGGTATACGAAACCCTTTATTTTTCTCTCTTTACAATGATTTCCGTACTTCGGAATACAGAGACCAACCACTTGTGGTCTGAACGTAAGAATATAAAAATATTAACTAAACTCTAACTAAACTAACTTTGGATTAATAAACAAGGCCTAAATCCAAGATTGGCCGTATATTAACAAAAAGCCGTATGTAGTACAGAGAACTGCTAACACTACGATACGTTTAAAATTATCAAGAGGATTAAACCTCTGGCCTGGAAGGCAACCAGCAACCGAGTAAAACTTCTAATGGCAAGCGGCCTGCTTCTAATAGCTCCTTCCTCTCTCTTGCTTGGCAAAAAGCCACAACTTAAGTACTTGGCGTTCGCCAGACAAATTTGCATAAATAAGTTAAAAGCTTTTAATTCTGCCGGAAGTAGAAAATAAGAAGTGATAGTAAAGATTTAAAACAAAATAAACGTTAGTAAAACTTAGATCCTTACAAATGTATCTCAGAATGTTCTGAATAATAATAACAATACAAAGGAAGAAAATAAGTTTAATTTTCTGTGTTAACTTTAAAGATAAATTATACTTGCAAGAAACTTCTGTTGAGTTCCGTCCCCAGTTTTGATGGACGGCACTCTGGAGGGTGGGGACGGGTCCGAGGATCTCCCACCTTTTTACCCTACCACAACCTTTCGAAAAGACTTTCCACTCGCCGCATATTTTGAATGCTCCCATGGCGTACGGATACTATACATTTACAAATACCCATGCCTTCACCGGGTACCGCAGTAGGCTCCTTTAACCACTATACCGTCTGGGCGGCGGACAAATGGGGAAAATTAATATCAGTGCTTACCGCTGTAAACGAAAGAAGCAGAAAAATTTTTAACATTATGTTTATATTCTTTTAACAATAATAATTAATGGTTTAAATGTGTGAAATATTTTATTACTCATGAAATGGTAATTACGAGTATCTTTCAGATCAGTCTAAAATTATTCACTATATCGTAGTCCATTAGTATCTTCAGTTCCGTTTAATCACACATAATTCAGCAAAACTTAAAGAGATTGCTTTTTACGTGTATATCCTTTTTTATCCATAGGATAACACGGCACGCAATTCCATTGAGGGAAATATTGATCTTATTCTAATGACGTAAGTAATAAAAGCTTAACGACCTTTGAAAGTTGGCACAAATTAGGTATCTGTTTTGCCATTATGTGCGAAGGCTTATTTGCAAATATTTCTCATTGACTGAAACAAGCAGTATGAGCATTCGAGTAAAATTATGTTTTTATTAAACCTGTTACTTTCCTAGAAACGCATCTCTTAGCAGAAATTTTATATAATATGTTAAGAGAAAGAAAGACTTTTAATTTGAAAGTTTATTTTAAAATCTAATTTTTACTAAAGTTTAATTTTTTTTTCTTTTTTAATAAACAGAAAGCAAAATTGTTGGAGTCATTTGAATAAAAAAGCGCTCTGTTATTTTTATTTCAGAATCTTATTATTCATGCCGATGAAAAATATATTTTTATCAAACAATCTTCTTGCTGCTGAATCGAAAATATTGAATGTTGTAGAAGAAATAATAGTTTTCTGTATAATAAATATAGTTAGTTCCTTTAAAATGTAACATGCTCTAACTTACACAGTCTAAGCAGAAGGTTGCAGAAGCTTTTTATACAGAGTAGGGTATAAATCTGAGAAACATTTTAAAAATTCATAAATAATCAATTATGCAACCGATAAATTTTATTATACTAAAATACTATCAGCAAACTTCATTTGCTTATTACAGCAGAGGTCTAAACGTCATTAGAAAGATTTACTTGGACATATTAGAAAGTTTATTAGTGGCACAATTGAAAGAAAATAATAAGGATTATTTCACCAGTAAGAGAGTTGTCAGGCTATAAATGACACCATCTGCGACAATATTTCTCTTAAAATTTACTACAAAGCAGAAACCATTTGCGAGACTGTTTCAATAAAAATTTGTCATTATTGTGGACAGGGCACAAAAAATAAAATGACACGTTAATGCGGTGTCCCTCCCCCCCCCCAGGTTTTCGGATTTAATCCCATGTAACTTTTTGTTCTGGAGGTTAGTCAAAGATACATTTCTGGTCTCTATCCTCAGTTAGTCTTCGGAATCTCCTTAATCATATCACTGATGCTGTGGTCCTAATTAATCTTGGCTCACCAGCGGCCGATCGGTAAAGTCGCTGAACACTGATAGTTCGGTCCGAGGTTCGAATCCAGCGAACGGGCAGGCTGCATGGGCGTTTTCGTGGTTTTGCCCATGTGCAACGTGTATACGAGCCTGTTTCTCTTGGAAAGTCTTCCACGAAGGCATCCTTCCCCTTAGGCAGATAGCCCTAGTGTGTTTTGCCATCATTAAATAAATCAAACTAAACCTAATTAATTTTGATATACTAGCATGCTCGTAGGACGAAAAAGGGTCACAGCATAGGTATCTACAACATCAGAATAACTGAAGTATTTTTCAAATGTGTACTAGTTGATGAATTTTTCTTTAATTCAGGACAATTTGCTACTAGTAACTGCATACAGTATTTATCATGGGCTTTAAAAATAGTTTTCGAATTAGGAATAGCTTGCATTTTATAGTTTCTTATATTTTAGTATTCTTGAATTTTATATAGAGAATTACCTTTACATAGGTGCTTCCATATCCGCTAGCGTCCATTTACTTTCTTTCAGTATTAAATGTCATACTTTAAAATAGAAATTAGAGTTATAATTTTATATTAAATGCGTTTAAAACTTTTACTTAAAACATTTTCCTCGAAATCAGTAGATTCTAGAGTATTTTAATTTTATAAGGTATTTTCTTTCACCTTCTTAGCATGCCTTCATTGTGGTGTGGTTTGCACGTTGAGCGCCTATTAAAGAGGTCCGTGGTTCGATTCCCGGCGAAGGCGTTGCTCATTTTTCAGGTCTCCTGTTTCCAAACAATCTTAATGTATCTACAATTTAATTCTAATTTGAAAAATATTAAATCAATACTGATACAAATTTTCTCAATGTAAAATACCTCTTTCAAAATTTTGAGCAATTTTATACATTTATATACCTTTATAAAAAATACTATTATTTTGTCAGATTATTTTTTGATTATTTTATAGTTAGTATGCACTGTTATTTTATAAAACTGCATTTAAATTGAAGTTCATTAAACCGTACAAAATCAACTGCGGTGATTTGTTTCAATTTCAAATATAAAAATCACCAACTAAAACATCTAATTATAAGAACGCTTTATTTGTTCCTTCACTTAGAATGAAATTATTGATTGGTTGGATATTTATGTCCAACTGTTTTATCGTTTAAAGTCCTAAATACCAATTCATCCTATCTAGCTTTCATAGCAACGATCCATTTCTTTACTTTCGAATGTGGCATGTGAAATATTTTAATTTTAAAAACCTAATTTATAGAGGAAAGCTTGTAAAAACTAATTCAGAAAGTAAAAAGAATAATGGGTATATTGTGATCGAAATGAAGGGAAGTATCCTGTTTGGAATTAATGGCAATGATAATTTCCAGTAATGTTTGTTTTTTAAACACTTACTATATTTTTGTTACATCTTGTATCTATACAGAGGAAAACATAATGCCTGCATACTACTAGACTTTGATTAAGTTGCTGTCTGGTGTTATAGTTAGAATATATTGGCTGCTAAAGCCACCAAACCCAAGTATAAATCCCAAATGAGATTTGGGTATTTATGAATACAGTTCCATTGTGGAAAGGTACTTCTTAATATCTCTTGACTGATCCGATGTCGTCTCTAGCTCTTGAGCATATTTGAAGTGCAGTTGGGAATAAAGTCATTCTGTCATCCCTAATACTCAAAACAGTTTTCAACGAAAGACGCATCCTATGATTCCACCCATGTTAATTCAAGAAATCCTTCACACATAAGTGTAATTAGGTATGAAAATTAGCAGCAACATAAATTTTATATTTAGGTATATATAAGGCGTGTTCAAATGAAAGTGATTCGAAGCTCCGCACTGGAGTTTCGTGAAACAAACGCGATAGTGAAGCCTATGTACCACGCTCCGTGTGCGGAAGGAGATGTGTGCCAACTTCAGTCGTAAGGACATGGCATTCATTCAAAAATGGCTGGTGTGGATGCAACTGCGTTGAAAACGGATCAGCGAGCTGTAATTAAGTTTTAACACTGGAAGGGTGTAAACCGGTGGACATTTATCGGAGAAGATGGCTATGTACGGAGACATGTTTCGAAGCTTATGGTGAGTGACATGGCGGGCGAGAATGTTTAGCGAAGGTAGCCAGGAGACAACGGATTTGCCGCCGCCCGGTCAGGCTCAAAAGGTTGTGACAGATAAGTTGATTACGGACATTGACACAGCACTCAAGGAAAACCGACGTCGAAACATTCGTGACGTTGCAAATGAGTTGAACGTTTCCATCGATACTGTTCACAATATTGTCAACAACAATCTGAAGTATTGAGAAGTTTGCTGCCAATGGGTACCTCGCATACTGTCTGGCTACTATAAGAAACAGCGAATGGGACACAGTTTACAGCATTTGGGGGCGCTACACGGCTGACGGTGACAACTTTCTGCAGCACATAGTGGTAGGAGATGAAACTAAGTGTCACCACTTCCAACCGGAATGGAAGTCTGTCAGCATGCAATGAAACATCCTGACTCACCCTAGGCCCAAAAAATTCAAAACTTAGCACTCAGCTGGAAAGATGATGTTGATGGCATTTTTCGATATTCATGGTCCCCTATTACTGGAGTTTAAAGAGTGGCACGGCTTTGTTCAATGCCCAACGGTACACCGATGCGCTTGCTAAGCTGTATAAGGCTATCGAAATCAAACGTCGAGATATGCTGTCGTCAGGTGTCATCCTTCTGCACGACAATGAAAGGCCACGTGTCACCCGGTGTGTGTCGAGGCACTGGCCCGTAAAATGTTGGAAGTCTTGGAACATCCAGCTTACAGTCCAGATCTGTCGCCTTGCGACTATCACATCTTTGGACCGCTGAATAAAAGTTTAAAGGGTCAACGCTTTTAGTCCGACGAGGACGTAAAGGCTGCTGTTATGAACTGGTTCCATGCTCAACCGACATCGTTCTTCGCGGACATGATTCGTAACCTTCCCAAGCAATGCGATGCTGCCTTAACGCAATGGGTGATTTCTTAACAAACATTGTATGCATTTCAATCATTAAATGCTGCTGTTCCTATCTATGTATCTGTCTCATTTCTGTCGCTATACATCTCATGGATACACACCTCACTTTCACACACAATCACTTTCATTTGAACGTCCCTCATAATTTCGGAGCGGAAGTTTGTTTATCAAGCTATCCTTTCCATCTTATTTGAAACGATTTCAAATGATCCTGGTACTCCCTTATCGATCATTAGCATCTAAGTGCTGAAAGTTTTATGATGAGCTTCATTATAACCAGTTTAAGTCCTTTTCGAAAAGCCTGAGATTAAATGCATTTTATGAACGAAGAAAAATTGAAGCTGACAGTTCTCTAGGGAACTGGCTATATATGCCACAAGGAGATTCAATTTGCAGTTAAATAATTTAAGTTCCAATTCCATTTGAAATCCTAGTGAGTGGGGTCTTCTGCTGAAATTAATGACACGTTGAGCTACTGACATATGAAAGTTGGTGCATTTAAAAGCTGGTGAAGGATAATGAACGCAGTGCTTCATGTAGCAGCGCATAAATTGTTCGGAAAGGTAATGTTTCCTTTCACGGCCAAAATTGTGTTATTCCATAAACCAAATAAGTAATTACTATCCTATCTTTAAGTGATCGGAGAAAGCCTTCATTACTTAAGTCATCTTCGAATCATGAAAAATGTTAAAGATAAAACTTACAATTTTTATTTACCTATTGATTTAATCAATAGATTATTGTAAATAAATTCTTACTAATATATTAAATATTAATCGTTATTGTAAATAAATTCTAAATTGTACAAATATATCATATATCCGCGTACAAATTAACGTATTATTTTTTAAAACAGATTAGTTTTAAATAAAATATTACATCAACGACTCCTTTCCTAAGAAGTTAGTTTTTAGCTTTTAATCGTAATTAATTACTTTTTGTATATGTTGTTATAATTCCTGTTTTTAATGATAAATTAGCTAATTTAACAAACATCTGTCCCGGTGTTAATTTTTATAGACCCTGCTGTAAAATTTTGAATAAATTTAAAATTTTTGAAATTCCTTTTGCTTTACACTTTAACAACGTGTAATTTCAGTAAATCCGTATATTTTCAGGTTTTTACCTAAAAAGAAATTCCTGCGATTTTTAATTTGTGCCTTTATTTTGTATTTCTTTTTTGTATTTATTTTTGTAGTTATGGGGTTGCGAATGCATGGAGGGAGAAGGTCTGAAAAATTTGAGAGCCGCTTAAATGTTGCTTAAAATTGAAAATTTGATTCGAGAATACCGGTTTAGAGACTCAAATGATTCAGAGGAGCAAAACTCGGGACTCATTAAGCAACATGGTTTAAGGCTTCAAAACACTTTTCCCTTGAAAAGTTCTGTTTGAAGTGGTAAGCAAATGACATAAATAAAATTCTTTATTATGTTTTGTATTGTCTTCAGTGTTGTATACATATTTGATGCTTAATTTTGCTTGTCCTCCTTTTGGGTTACGACTTATGTGGGAAAGCACTGTTAGGGCCTTCATAGGGATTAAATTATATACAATCATTTAAGCTCCGACTTTTCTTTTTTTTTATATATTTTTATAATTTTATGCATATTGCAATATATATATATATATATATGTGTGTGTGTGTGTGTGTAAGATAAGAAAATATGAAATCAAACTTCTAAATTTAACTCACTTAATAACTTCTCTTATTTTCTGTTTCATTTGGGAACTTCATCGCTCTATCCTAAAAATAGCGCTTTAGTCTAAACTGCGTCATTCAAATTAAACATAAGATCTTACGTATCTTGACCAATCACCAAATTGCAAACCAAAACTTTTCTCTTCGCGTGCTTCCATCTTGCATAACTACGCACTTCAGCTTTTGTTCTCTACTGTGCTAAGATATACTAATTTTGCTGGCTTGCTTTTTATCTCAACAATATCAAAAATGTAAATCTTCTGTGGAAAGGCACGACTAGAGTTTCAAAGTGATTCTGGCCACAAATATCAATTGGAAATAAAAATGGAATTAAAACTACCTCGATTGCCAAGTTTATATAATTTAATATTGCAATATATTTTAATTTTTTGTAAATTTTTTAATTTTTGAAATCTTTGTATTTCCCGTATCTACCGTATCTATACTTCTTCTGGTTTAATAGTAATGGTTAATTTTTTATACATTTATTTGGGATTTTTGGATTTTACTGGTTTTGAATTTTATTTCTTTCGTTTCTTTAAAAACGAGTCCAGTGTTCTGTCCTTACCTACAGATGTCACTCAGAAGAATAGTCCAAATGAATTGGTGAGCGGTTAAAATTGGTATTTTATTTGAAATATTAACCAGAAAATTTTTCGCTATGACAGTACTTTCGTACAAGGAGGTAATATTAACTTCAAGCATCAAAAGATTTATTATGTACTCTAAGTAATAAATTTTATTTGTATCTTCTTGATAAACATAGATTTATTTTAAAAAGGTGTGTTCTTGAATTTACTTTTTATTAAACCTGTATTTCAAATTTTAATTTAAAAGTTTCAGTATTAAGGAAATTTCTTTTTTTTTTTTTTTTTTTTTTTTTTTTTTTTTTTGAATAATTCAATAACATTTTAGGATATGGATTCGAGAAAATATTTAGTTATTATGATAGAAATGGGTTTTCACTTCATGTTTAATTTAACAGTTTCCCACATTTTATATTTTATTGTACTTTTCATAAAATTCTTAAAATGCCACTTATGAATATTAATGTATGATATACCTTCACGCGCATATAATTACTGTTCATTCATTTTTTAATATTTTTTAAAATGTCTTTAAGATACTTCAGGTAATGAAAAACGTCAGAAACCGGGAAAGCAAGTTTAGAATTATATTGAAAAAAATGTATAGAGAGAGAATTATGCATAAATACATAATATTCGTGGACGAAACGAAACAATTATTCTAAATTATTTTCCTTCTCGTCTTTTAACAATTTTTTACATACTAATACACTATTTTCAATAATGCACCAAGATCTGAATCTATAACTTTTAATGACTCATTCAAGAGAATAACAGAGTATAAAAGATTCAGTTAAAAATCAGCTCCAGCAGTTTAACTACCATAGTCAGCTATTTTAAATATGGTCTTCCATTTGGAGATCTACCAAACAAAAGTTTGTTGATCTCTTCTAAGCTTTGTTTTGAAGCCTTTCAACTTGCATGATAAATTGGCTTCGAAAAGAGTTTTGACACATTTCATCATTAAGGATGGCTGGTTGGTTTGACAGATTTAATGATCCTGTTTTCCAATAACAAAATATGAATGTCACAGGTTCAGGCATTGTTCAAAAATTCGTTCACCAACGTGGCTGAAATTCTAATTAAATTTTGAAGGAACTCGTTCAGTCATCTCAAACCCAGAAATGAACTGATTTTAATGGATATTATTTAAAAACTTTAAACATTTATGGTAAAGTAGGGTAGATATATTTTTTATTAATATTGAATTTTAAACTTAATTAGAGTGTTATTTATTTTAAATTTTACCATAAAATGCCTGCATTTAATCGTAGATTTATGTATTTTAAAAGTTCTAACAAATCCGCTATTACATTAATGTAGGCAATAAGGCTATAATAATTTACAACAGATGTAGCTAGTATGGTGAAAATAGATCATTGACATAGTAGACTAAAATGGTGAAAATAGATTATTGATATAATAGGCTAATATAGTGAAAATAGGCAATGTATTTAAATTCCTCATTCTATAACAATTTACGTTCGGGACAAAATCAATGTGGGTGCGTGCTAGGCAGACAAGGCTGGCTATGTGTGCTGGCGTTTTGGCTGCAAAAGAAGCTCCAGTGAAAATGAAGCGCAAAACAGCTAAAAAGTGTTTTTAAAAATATTTTAATGAAATTTAACGACCTGTTCATAAAAGTTTCACTTCGTTTGCATTTTACGATAACTTTTTAATGCTGTTTTGATGAAACGTCTGCTTCATAAAACGCTTTGATGTAATTGTTTGTATTTATAATTTTGCTGATATTACTTTTATACAGGATTTTTTTACACTACTATTAAAATATTTCGTAAATATGTTCATGGCAATTTGTACGTACAAATCTAATTAGAATTATCAGTGATGTGAAAGTATGGTTAACATTGTTATAACGCGCTTTTGCGAGTGTTATAACGCGCTTTTGCGAGTGTTATAACGCGCTTTTGCGGTGTGACAGTCAGGATAGCCATCCTGACATGAATTCAACTCCGACCAAGCATGCGATTAACCGCGTAATGACTGCGCCC